GTTTCCGAAAGATCTACATTATGTCCGCAGTCTGCATGCTGGCTGCGTCTAAAATAGCATCGAACAGCGTCCTCAGTGACTCCAACCTCGGTCCATACACTGCCTTCAAGGAATCAAAGAATTCCTTGCGTTGGCGGCCTTCGGCATAGCATTCCATCTACTTCGTCTTCTTCGTCCATCATGCATTTTTAATGCGACGGAGCTCTTGGGTCTGCCACATGTGCAGCGAATGCTGCATCCTTCTTCGACACCAATGCGAAAATCGTCGCATTGTTCTCATCAAACCAATCGGATCGCTCCCAGTTTGCGCAAGTGTTGGTCTCCTTGGCAGCAGCTGTCACCTGGTCACGAATGTGGTGCCACAGGTCGCCCACGATGAGTATGCATCCCACATCACACAGGCGTGCAGCCACCGCCTTTACCAACTCCATCGCATTCTCCACAATACCTAGGGAAAGGTTACATTTTCGCCGGTTCACGGCAGGAGTGCAATACATGGATTTACGAATACATATTTACAGTTTGGTCCGCACCAATTTGTGATCATTGACGCACAGCTCCACGCAGTACACATGTCATGCGCACTTCATGCCTCTCATGCTGGTTTACGATAACATAGACGAGCGAATGAGCGTGACCACTCCGTGGTTGCATCCAACTTGCTGTTTCACTCGCACTCAACACAAGCTTAGTGTTCGCGATCGTCAGGCAGTGCGTAGCACACAGTGAAAGCAGCCTCTCATCATTTGCATTCGCTGAACCAATGCCATGCGGACCGAGGACATCTGTCCACACCGATGCATCGCGCCTAACGCGCGAGTTGAAATCACCCAGAAGAAATAGTCGGTCGCTCATCGGCACAGACCGTATCACGGATACTTGAAAGTAAAACTGATCCCACGTGTCATCAGGATAACACATGGTCGTTTGTGGCAAGCTTACCTCTTCCGAGTCGTATACGGGCAGTCATCAGTCATGCCTTGATGCCAGTCGGCTCATTTATCAGCTGGCCATTGAGGCGATGTGATAGTTCAAATCCGACCTCATGTTCACGGGGTGTTGAGATGGTGTTTCACACCCAGTAGAACATATAGCCAGCACCAGCTTCATGCAACTTACCTTGCTCAGCCAGCCGGGTCTCGCTGAGTGCCGCAATATCAATGTTGTAGCTTGCCGGTTCCATCGCGACCAGTGTAGTGTGGCACTCGGGGCGCTCACTCAAGCTCCGGACCAATAGTGTGCACAAGTTCCATCACCGGATGTTGAGTGCGTTGCGATGAGGCACACGATTGCTTTGATAGGCAATCAGGCGCTTGGTGATGGTTTTGCTTCAGATGTTTACTTTAGGGACATAGCTCGGAGCCTTTGGTTCAATCGCTTAAGCCACAAGGTGGTGGGGAGCAAGTTCAGCTCGGGGCTGTAACTGCAGAGACCCGATGGGAGCTGCTTGAGGTCCGTCACACGCAGACTTCGAAGGTGTGGAACAATTCATATGTGTTTTGTGACCTCAGTAGGGTATATATATATGTGTGTGCTTGGCGGAATCCGGTTCCGGAGTTGCCTATCACTACGACCTCCTTAATGTAGGAAGGCGGAAGGCAGCATTTGCCCAAAGGACAGTGAGACCATTAAAACGGAGGCGGACGAATAGAGAGACTGATGCAATGGGGGCAATTCGCTGGGGAAACCCAGGCTCAATAGAACGGGGCGGAAACGGGAGAGGAGCGGCATCCGTGGGTGAGCCCGAGGCAGGCAAAGCAGGTGGGGAATTTGTTGAAGGCGCAATAAATCGGACAAAACCGCCGGTATCACATCTTCAAGAGACAACACCGGGGAGAGTGATACACCCACGGTCAAGCAAAGCGCACGCTATCGAACGACTCCGGGCATGTCAGAATCGAAGGCGTGGAAGCGAAGATACACGGGTGAAACGGACATAGAAGATGCGTTCCCGTGCCCCAGAAGGAGCATAGAAGTGTCACGAGCGGAGGCCAGGAGGGATGGTGCAACGTGGGAAAGAAACCTGACCTATTAATGTGTGCCCGTGTGAGTGGTGAGGTAGTGTGTGTGTTCGCGCCAATAAAGGTCGTGCTTCATTGCCGCGTTATCTTGTCGCTACATTATGACAGCAAGAGAACACCTGTTTGCGCTGCCCCACTCACAGCTCCATCCACACATTTCTTATTCAGTGTAAACCTGAAGGAATAAGACCGGAAAGCATGTGAATGGGAGTCAGATTTCCTCAACGGAGCCGGCTCACAACCCTTGAACGTATACGACAGTAACGTTCCTGTATATCTAAAGTGAGAATCAAGCGTACCAGATGTATACAAGACCGTGGCTAGGCCACAGACCGCTCCACATTGGATGAAACGACTCTTTAGGCCAAGAACGGCACGAGGGCGCGCATCCCGTCCCCGCAGCAACGATCCGGCCTCTTGGAGCCAGTAATCGAAATGAAGGTTGCTTAACAGGCAAGCGTCTTGTCCACATTCATATCAAGCGAAGCAACACTGGGGATATCAAACAGCCAACATAGAATTTGAAGGAAAATAAACACTCAAAATTGACACAGAATAGGCAGCAGTGTCACAGAACTGAGTAAATCAAATGAAGAGGAATAATATTTCGACAGGTTAAGAAGATTTAATTCAAGTGTAAGTCGGTGTAGCCTAACTGGGGTGAAGTATGAAGTACGGAATAGTTATTTATCTATATATGGAGGGACTATTAGGCACGAACTAAAATAGAGCATGCCTTCTGACAAGAGAAGCTGGTGGACCAGTCGGCCTCAAGAAATGGAAGAGGCTGGATTGATAGGCCATTATCGCTAGCTCTTCCAACTGCTCCGATTCAAAGGGTGCCAGAAAACCAAGACTCAGATAGACAGAAATACAGTTCGGGTGCCCTGACATACAATAAGGAGAGCCGTATGGCTCGTTGGGCGAAACACATTCGAGCTCAGATCAGTTATTCCCCTGCTCCCAGACCACTTCCTTCTCGCTTCGAAGGTACATATACTAAAATTGCTACCATACAGATAAGATTAGTATGGCCCCTGTGTAAGGATGGCACGAAAACTCGAAAAGTGTTTCATATTTTTGGCTGCCTGAGTAAGTTTGACTGTCTGAATGAGCCTAGATGTGAAGAATTTCTATCTGTACCATTCAACTCCCCACTACTCTTCTGGAAGCAGTATGCTGACCAAACTGCTTATAATTACATAAGTTAATCGGCTACCTTACTTTACGGAAAAAATGATCAGCTATCGTGGAGTTTAATTGACGGACTGGTAGTGGAGGAACCGATCTCCACATGGTAAACTTTTGGTTAGTTCCCCGGATCCGCCGAACCCGGATTAACAGGTCGATCGGGCTTCGTGCGCATCCATCGGTTCCTTCCGCGGCCTGCGCGTAATCTTCACAAATGTTTGTAGTTTAATGAAGAAAAATGATGATCTATATCACCTCGTTGCCTCACGTCGTCCGGACGTGTTAGGACTGTCCGAATCCTAATTAAATCCTAAGGTCAGTACCCAGGAATTCCAGATCAGTGACTTCTCTTGCTTCCGGTGCGACAGATTATCAAACGACCGGGGCGGAGTGCTGTTATACATTCGGTCCTCGCTGTGCGGGAGGCTGGTACACACCTACTGCAGAGAAGATGGCCTGTGCGAACAGTTATGGTGCTGGATCCGTCTGATATAGGGTGAACTGTTTGTGGGTACGGCTTGTCGCAGCCCACGAAGTCGCTGCCTGGATTGGTTATTGCATGTCGAAAACTACATGAGTCGGCCTCGCTTCTTGCTTATGGGTGATTTTAAGTTCGCTCGCATACGCTGGCCTAAGGTTCAACTTCTCTCCGCGCACTGTAAAACCGAGGCGTATTTTGCGGAGGTGGTATTTTAAACTGGGGCAGCACAACATGTCTGCCAACCGACGCGCTTTACACCGCATTCTGTTTCATCATTCCTGGACCTACTACAAACGAGTTGCCAGTAACGTGCATATGAAATTCAGGTCATGGAGCCTATAGCAGTTAGTGATCACTCAATGGTGTTTGCCAGCCTGAAGCTGTCGTTGCCTTACTCGCGTCTGCCGGAGCAGTCCTACAATTATTGGAAGACCGACTTCGATGGACGCAATCGAGCCGCCAGTAAAGTAGAATGGTCGCTGCAGCAGGATTCATCTGTTGAAGCCTGTTAGTTTATTATAAAAGCGGGTGTGCAATACTTGTGTGCTCGTTTCGTACCCCTCAAGTATCGAAAATCTGGACGAGTGAAGCCACTTTGGTTCCGCAAGGAGTACGGTCAATTGGTTCGAAGGCAACGCGTATTAGGGAATCATTTCCTCGTATCTGGCTCTGCTGAGGAGTATGACATGAACAAAAGGCAGCGGAATCTATCCAATAGCGCAAAAGTGCGAAAGCGTTGGCAGTTCGAAACAGAGCTTGCAATCTCAGCGAAGACAACCCCCAAGAAGCTTTTTGCGTACGTGATGGGGCGCATGGGCTCCAAGTGACGTAGCTGTGTTAGACGGCACTGAGAGACATGCTCTAACCTCCAGTACTGAAGGTAGGTCCGCATTGGTGGAGTACTTCCCTTTCCTCTCTCTCTCTCTCTCTCTCTCTCTATATATATATATATATATATATATATATATATATATATACGATAAAAACTTGCAGTCAGTGTGGCTAGTTAACCTGCAAGAGTGCAGGTTAACCCGCTCTCCATAATCCTGTACTTATCGTCATGTTGAGAAAGGAATCGTGGAATGTTTTACAAATCTTAGGCTATTAGCCGATATGTTACATCATTCGTGATCTGGATGGGTAAGTTTTTTAATGTACCCTTACTTCCTTTGTCTCTACTTACATATACACAATTTTATCTCCGAGTCCTATTGTTTAATATTTTCAAAGCAATACGGTAGGCTAGGTGCTTTTCCTCAATTTGTGCCTCTTTCAGCTGAATGCAAAACTTTTATCTTGCTTAGCAGGGCATATCTGGATTTCACCAAACTACTGCCTGATTGGACGAACTGCTTCACCTTGAAAAACTCTCTTGAAGGTCGGTCCGGACGGATCGTTCTGCTGGCCACTTTGACAGGGTTCAGCCGACCACCGGATCTTTTCTCCGTCGGGTCGAGCAACTCAACTCACCGATCGCCCACGGAAGACCACACAGTACCAGAGCCAACTGATGAGGTGGTATTGTTGCCATCACCCCAAGGTCGAGTGAGCGCTGAACTCTTGAGCGAAGTGGTGTCACATTTCGTAAGTTTGAACGAAAACTACCTCACCAAACTTCCGCCATGATGCTTCTACGGAAATGAATTTATTCACTGTAACTTCGCTGCCTTGGAAGTATTCAGGAGACTAGCAGCTGTTTCAACCCAGAATGAGCGCAAAACCGACTTGATTGCCTACCTGTTTGTTTATAAAACTAAATCTGTCCAGTAAGATCAGGCGTGACGCAATACTTTGACAGCAACTGAATGCTTTGCTGATAGACAATTGAATAAAATAATGTTTGTATTCACATGAGAAAAGTTCCTCGATGAGCTATTCCAAGTGGTGTGCAAAAGCGTCGAAACTACTAGGTTTCCAAACCTTGGCTTTCGCTCCAACTATCCACTAATACGTCATCGAATGAATCACACGTCCCAGTTATGCACATACACATATCGCCCATGCGTTAGCATGTTTACTTTTGGACATATTGAGCTGTGTCGCTGTAGACACAGTTTTCAGGACAATATTATCCTTAGCTTATTATTATATTTCTAGTATGATTATACCTACAAAAAGATTGCAACCAAGGCTGTTGAATCATTAATGAAACATCACCATACGAACTTGTTCCATGCGTTTTTAGACTCACGACCATTCCCCTTGATGATAAACAAAGCTGCGAACGGATGGTTTCGTACCCGAGAGCAAGAAATTGTGCATCTAGTCTATATACCCAGTGACACCTGGAGTTCCGCATGACTAATATGCAATGTCACCTCAGTTCACTGTGCTCAACATGGGACAACCAGTCCGAAAGGGTGACACGCTTCCAGGGATGCATATGTGTAGTGGGAGTGTCAGATCAGAGAGTGATCAGAGTGAGCGAATGGACCATCCGAGCGTGCCAGACAGCCTTTAGGAGGCGGGCGTAACCGACTCGAATACTGGACTCGGATTGACTAATATTCCAGTTAGTGGTTCACCGTTTGTTTAACTGAAGAGAAGGAGAAGCCACATCGACTCAGAAGGGTCGTTAGTTATGTACTTGAAAGTACAACTTGTATCGAGGAGTTTGGTTTGTCAAACATGCTGTGCTTTTCGTCCTCGACTCTGTTGATTAAACGCTTGTCCCTGGAGGACCGGGTTTTGAAACATGGTGTCAGAGAAGACAAAAGCGAACTCCACCGGTAGCGCTCGGTTGCTGTTTGTAGCACCAGCGCCTATTCGGATACCTGTCCCATTGAACGTGGATGAATGGAACTTGGCGAGTAATTGGTGTCTATGGCGGAACAAGTGGATGGATTCCTGCACCTTAGTCCGTTTGGAGGAGCAACCATTGGCGTATCGCCTCGCTATGTTTCGACACGCAGCCAGGAATGATGCGTGCCGAGTGGTAGAGAGGTTGCGATACATCAAAGCCAAATATCCCAATAAAATAGAGATGGTCACTGAAAAGTTTAGTGCATTTTGTGAAGGTCAAAGCAACGAAACATACCAGCTCTGTCTCTTCTTTTATCACAGTGGAGGCCCAGACGCAGAGGCGTAGCATAGGGGGCGGAGGGGGGGCGGTCCACCCTGGGCGGCATGTGACAGGGGGCGGCATTTTTAATGCGCTTGGTTGTTTAATACCAAGTGTAAACGTACCAAAATTACTTTCATTCCTGAAGGGGTAACAACAAAGGATGATCATCATACTGTGACCGAAGATGAAATTGGTACTACAAACGTTGAAATCGAGACAACTGAAAGCGATATTGACAGTATGGATGCAGCGAGAAACTTTTGTAATGCTGAATACGTAGCACTGCTGAGCATATAACGCACGCTTCCGAGACACGTATTCCCAGCAAGCAGAACATGTGTGAACACGTAATCCCAGCGATGCTGATGCAGAAGAAGCGTGCAAAGCTGCAAACTTGGAGAAGCAACCATACTTTTGAATGATAACACACACATCAACCTAGTATATGTATGTCTGCCAGTGGGTTGTTGACAGGGTTCATAAAATGGTTACTTTGCTTGTGCGGCTCGGATCTACTGTCTTGCAGCATAGGGATCATGAATTTAATAAGTGGTGCTACCTGGAACGAATACAAAATTGAGGCTAATAAGCTAACAACGAACTGCGTTTTTTCGGGATTTGCGAAACGGTACGCAAAGGTTGCGAACATCGATGGTGTATTCTCCTTCAAAAGAGGCACTGTTTGGTTTCAGCTGCAGAATATCTTAACTGGATTGTCTAGTTTGTTGAGTGGTGGAAACTAAATCCAAAAGATTATGAACACGAATCTAGTAACTCCTGTGCTCAGTCATTCCTTAACCGCAAGGAGCTATCGATTTGGATAGTTGAATGAAAGGCAAATGGTAAATAGAATAAGTAGTTGTAGAGAAGTGGTGACGTGAACTTTTAGCCAGCATGCTTGATTTCGTCAGATTTCTCACCAAGCAATGTATGACACTGCATGGTCACTGAGAAGACATCTAAGACGGCATAGGAGGCCCAGAACTAGAGGGAATTTGCAGAATTCGTACATATATTGGAACATTTATGAGCCCGTTCTTCGCGAAAATTTGGTGACAGTAGCTGTGAAGGAAAAAAAGACATGTTTTCTTTGTCGCCACACGTTCAAAATGAACTAGTGAGCATTTTGGCAAATCAGGTGAGAAAGAAAATAGTAGATCAAGTCAAGTATATATGTTAAATTTTCGAGAGCACTCCCAATGTACCTCACAAAAATCAGATAAATGAAAATAAGTGACAGTAGAGGGATCGTTTCTCAGCTTTTTGAGAAAACAACAAAAGGACATATGAAATTTCTGGACTGGTTTTGGGAGAAACGACGAAAGATAGAATTCAGATTGACGACTGTGGTGGCCAAGCATTTGACAATGGTGCTGTTATGGCGCGCTAACCAGTGGGTATCCAGAAACGTATTTGAGAAATCAACTCAAAGTCTACATTTGTGTCACGCAAAAACCATTCAGTGTTCATGCAGCTTCTGCTGCGGTTCATTCTGTTATATTTGTGGCACGATGGACCAGCTAGTATCATTCTTTTTAGTTAAATCTCACTTGAATGCCTTGAATCAAGTCATCAGGTGACTGTACAATGGGACAATGGAACAATGGTTTATTACGGGTAAAAAAAGCATCGCTTAACAAGTCCCGTGGGATGGAAGTTATTGCGAAAATCAGTTGCATAATAAAGTGAAAAGCATTGTGGTGGACTCACCATAGACTTACGTGGAATAGCGGAGATGTTCGCGTATTAAACGTATAAATCCATAAATCCATTGGTTAGGCGTTTGGCAAGAAACCGTTTGAAGTAGTCGAGCATTTGCTGTAAATATTGTGGTGAAGAATCACTCGAAAGTCGTCATTTATTTGAAGATTGCCCAGAAAAAGTAGAACATGCAACCACAAGATCAGCTGGGTCTTTAATTGCATCTCGGCCTTATCGTTTCCGTTTAGGTTGTTTCTGACTATTTAGGCATCTTTTACCATAAAAATCAAGAATGCGTAGATATATCTAAACAAATAAGCTGGATCTGTAGCGAAGTTCTGTCAAGTTTACAGCGTTAAGTTTTTGCCTTCTTCAGAATAGAGAGCGAATGGTGCACATTGCAACGGATGAATCCAAAACACTGAGCTGAGTTGGGGGCAAGCATGAAGCGTCGAGGCTACCAAAATAAACGAAAAAACAATGGAGAGTAGTTTGCTATATCGATGGAATTTGATGCGGAGTTGAAACGAGAACTGCTGTCTCTCATTGGCAGTATGAATAAATAAACGCCATAGCTTTCAGCATCTTAATGATCTTGCGAAAAAATATGATTTTCTTACACCGTCAAATCTGCTTGTTGATGACTATGGTTGTGCGCTTATTGAATATAGAAAAGGAGGAATTCCTTGCCGAAAGTAGGAGGCTGCAGGATGTTGTGAAATCTTCAGAAAACGAAAAAATTGACAGATCTTCTGAACGTTTGAGCCTCATACAGAAATTTCACATTGGGGAATCTGCTGCGCATATTTCTTACCCGGACTATTAGCATTACCAAGTGTGAGAGCGCAGTCTTCAAATGTAAACTTATAACGAACCAGCGTTATGCATCACTGAACCAGACAAGGCTCACGGATTGGCAGTTCTCAATTTGGGGCGCGAAGCTGACGATGGACAGTGTTATCATTACTAATACCCCAAGTAATGCGCGAAAACTCTATCTGTAAATGTTGTTCATGAGTACTGTAACAATAAATTGCCGGAATTTACGGCAGCATTCTAAAATTAGATATTTGCTTGTTGTTATTTGAAACGAAGTACGTAAGGGCTGTCCGCACTTGTGAGGGTTTAATGATTTACAACCGCCAGTAGGGGCGGCAGTTGTATGTCCGCCCCGGGCGACAAAAGTGGTTGCTATGCCACTTCCCAGACGGATCTGTCAACGCGCACATCACTGAGTTGATCTTAGCCCGATCCTGACATTCCTGTAAATGCATGGACGACAGTCTCATACGCGATCGGATCGACCTAGGAATTAATGATGAAAGTAGGACAAAGCGGCTTTTGCGACAACACAACTTATCACACCAGCAATGCATCGATATCCGCAACAGTGAGTCCTCTACAACCTATCAGTAGCAGCAATTGAAACTGGCAACTGATGCAGAATTGTGTGCCGTTTCCGAATGCGACGCACCAAAGTCTACCAGTTTGAGACAGAATATCTATAAATTTTGAGCCGCACGGCACCGGAGCTCCCAAAAACAGTGTCCGACGTGGAGTTGGAGATGCACCAAATGTGGGAGAAGGAACCACTTTGCTCGTTACTGCCAATAAACAAATGGGAATGCGTTCCTGACAACTCACCCGCAGATGCAGAACATTCAATTGACTGTGTGTCTCGGAGGGCGCCGCAAAAATGTGTCTACGCATGTCTTTTGATCGAAGGCAAAGCCGTACAATTCCAGTGACGCACGAGAGCTACTGGTAACATTCCACCAAGGAAGCAATGTTCCTGAGTGTGGATTCGACCCAGTCAAGA